TGCCACAAGGACCCCTTGTTTTTGCTGATACAGACTAACACGGCTGCCCCTCTGAAACCCAGGTGTTAATGATCATACAGAGATACAGTAAACTGGTGTAACCCATCAGCTCTGAGTGGATCTCTAAACTGAGGCTGGACGGGATGATTCCAATCATCTCAACTCATCTCCTCAACAGACGGGGCTGGGAATTTCACCCAGTATTTCCTGCCTCCAGCCCGGCAATATGTGGTGGGATGAAAGCAAGTCACAGCATACATCGCTCAGTGACACACCTTGCAGGAGGCATCATCTCCTAAGGGATCCCTTTGTGCTGCGATCCCGGTTTAGAGGGGGGGAGGAGCTGTCAGACCCAGCGCAGAGACAACAACACTCTCCTTGGTTGTGACGCCCACAAAAAAACTTGACAGTGGCTAGGCTGAGGGTGCAGCCACTACAGCTCCTCACAGCGACCATTATGGGCTCGTTGCTGTCCCCATCCGTCTGTCTGTCACCTTCTGTCATCTCTTGCCTTAGGCCCAAATTGGAAATGCCATAGGGCAGGGCACTGCCTTTTTATCCCGGCTTTGTACAGCACCCAGCACAACGGCATCCTGGTAAACGACTGGGGCTACTAGAGGCCACGATAATACAAATAATAATTAAGTGACTCGATTGAGGTCATACACAGAGTTAGTGGCAGAGCCAAGAACCAAAACCAGGTTTCCCATGTACTAGTCTGGTAGCCTAGCAACAAGGACATCCAGCCAAAAGAGGCACTCGCACTGATACACTGGAGTGGGACTGCCTCTGGGTGGTGGCTCAGCGAAAGCCCTGCTCCCTCGGTGGTTCAGAGCCGTAGCTGATCGGTTTAGGGACTAAAAATTCGTTGCTGTTTTTTATCCCCTCCAGGAATCAGCCCGACTCTAGAAGGAACTGGAGTTGGTAACAGAATTCTGTCCTCCTAAGGAACTCACCTGGCCCCGTTTCTGTAGACAGCCGAGCATCTCATCACAACCCGGAAATATTTACCCTCCAGGCGCTGGTCTAAGTCCCACTGAAGCCAACTTGCTCAGGCACCTAAGTACCTTTGGGAGTCTGACTCTACGTGCCTAGCTCAAGGCGACACAGGGAGTGTGCAAAAAAGGACTTAAACCAGGTCCTCCAAGTTCTGGACAAGTGTCCTTCCCTCCCGGGCCTCCCTGCTCCAGTGTGACGGCACAGGAGAGCAGAGCTGTACAATATACCGTGACCAGCTGTGTCTTGCTCTCACTACGCCCACAGCCTGCATGAAATCGTTTTCTGTGCAAAGTAAAGCACATTTTCCTCAGTACCCACAATCCCGGGCTCGGTGTCTCAGGAGACAGCTTTCCAGATGTCCCCAGTCCAGCGGCAACTTGCAGCTGTGACGTCTACGGGAGGATTTCCAGAGATTAGCACCCAATGCGCTGGGCTCCCCTGAAGCCTAGCCACTGCGCGGGGAGCCC